GTCTCGAGCGAGGCGCTCATTTGCACCCCCCTGAGGGGAGCCGCCAGGGGTTATCTCACGGTCCCGTTCGCGGCCGTTGTGTGGGACTGTCTCAAGCGGTTTGTTTGTTTTCTGTCCCAACATCCTTCGCTTTCGGAGCAGATTTGGAGGATGTCTCGAGCGAGGCGCTCATTTTCACCCCCCTAAGGGGAGCCGCCAGGTGTTAATCTCACGGTCCCGTTCGCGGCCGTTTTGTGGGGATGTCTAAAGCGGCTTGCTTGTTTTCTGTCCCACCATCATTCGCTTTCGGAGCAGATTTGGAGGATGTCTCGAGCGAGACGCTCATTTTCACCCCCAGGTGGGCCAGATTTTGAGGATGTCTCGATTGGTGGCCAGACTCGTGGGCACAGATTCTCCTTAGGTTGCCACAGGAGGCTCCAGGAGGCCCCAGGAGACCACGTGAGGCCCCAGGAGGCATCAGGAGGCCACAGAAAGGCTCAAGAGGCCACAGGATGTCCCAAGAGGCTCTAGGAGGCCCCAGGAAGCTCTGGGATGCTTCAGGAAGCCTCAGGAGGCCCCAGGAGGCCAGAGGAAGCGCCAGGAGGTTTCGGAAGGCAACAGGAGGCCCCGAGAGGCCCCAGGAGCAGGAGGCCTCAGAAGGCAACAGGAGTGGCTCCAATCCCATGTGTTTTACGTATGCTCCTATAGATTGGGCCTCACCTGGAGCACGAATCCTTGATGTTATACGTATGTTTCTAATATTGTCCTTCTCCTGTGTACTTATGTTCCTATAGGGCCTCTCCTGGGGCACGAGTCCTTGGTGTTTTACGTGTGTTCCTATAGATTGCCCCCTTCTCCTGTGGCTCCAATCCGCAATGTTTTATGTACGTCTGTTGCTATAGATTGGGCCTCTCCTGGGGCACGAATCCTCCCTAGGAGGTCCCAGGAGGCCCCAGGAGGCCCCAAGAGGCTCCTGGAGGCCCCAGGAAGCCCCAGTAGGTTTCAGGCGGCCCCAGGAGGCCCCAGGAGGACCCAGGCTCATGCGCAGAGACGCGCTCGTACTACTGAGGCTCATTCACACTCCAATTCATTCTCAGTTAGATTCATGACCAGACCGTCACAACTGAAGCCCGTTTATATTCGAAAGCTCTTGCGCCTAGACATTCACGGCGGACAGGTCCATGCGAATAGATGCACATATGGGGAGCTCCACGCAGTGAAAACCATTTTTTTACGACGCGATCATGTCTGGGATCCGAGCCAGGGGGCAACGTCAGGGGGGATATGGCTCCGCGGGGGACGCATCGACCCCCAATCGCCCACGGACCGCCGAGAGGGGCACACCCCGCCCAGGCACGTCCGGTTCCGCTATCAGGGGCCTATCGCCGACCAGTCGGCGACGCTCGCCGATTCCAGGTCGACGTTTTCGGTATCGTTTAACCGATCCCCATCCCCGTCCCCATCCCCTTCGAGACCCCCACCAGACGCTTCGCGAATCCCCACCAACCCATCCAGAAACGATGCCCAGAGGAATTGCCTCGATCAGGGAAGCGGGCAGCACGCAGAGGAAGGGTCCCCCAGTGGAGGCTTCTTGGAGCGTCTTGGGGGCATGGGGGCGGTCCCGGACGCCTCTTAGAGCGTATTGGGTGCCTCGGAGAGTTTCTGGGGGCCTCTTGGGGGTCTCTTGGGAGCCTCTTGGAGGCCTCCTGGGCGCCTGTTGGGGCATCCAGGGGCCTCCTGGACGCCTCTTGGCGCCCTCTTGAAGCGCTCTTGGGAGCCTTGGGAGCGCTCTTGGAGCCCTCTCGAGCCATCTTGGAGCCATCTTGAGGCCTCGGCGAGAAATCCAAAAACATTGATGTTCCTAAGGCTTGGAAGGATTTTGGCCCTTCGGGGCCTCCTGGGGGAGCTCTTTGGCCACTTGGAGCCGTCTTGGAGCGGTCTTGGGGCCTCTTGGAGCATCGTGGGCGCCATCTTGAGGCATCTTGGGATATCTTGAGCCATCTTGGAGATCATCTTCGGCTTTCCCAGGCGCTCTTGGAGTCATCTGAAGCAGTGCACCCCCCCCAGGAGGCCAACATGTGGCCAAAACCTTAGTAAAAACCAGCGATTTTGGCATTGTCGCCGAGGCCTCTTGGAGCGTCTTGGGTGCCTCTTGGGGGGCCTCTTGGGGCCTCTTGGAGGTCTCTTGGAGGTCTCTTGGGAGCCTCTTGGGGGCATCCTGGGGGCCTCCTGGGGGCCTCTTGGGGCTTCCTGGCCACCTCTTGGGGCCCTCTTGGGGCACCCTTGGGAGCCTTGGGGGCCAGCTTTGGGCCATCTTGGGTGAGATCGATCACATGAGGGGGGGGTACGAATTAGGGTCCCCCCCTCAGGAGGCCAAAATGGGGCCAAAACCTTAGTAAAACCAATGAGTTTGGCTTCCTCGCCGAGGCCGTTTTGGGCGCTCCGACGACTCGCGAGACCCCCTGTCCAGATCCATGGGGAGGGGGTAGGGGGAGGGGTCAAGACTCCCTCCCCGCCCGCAGGCCGTCTCGCTCACTCCCACCCGCCCTCCCAACACATACGTAGCACCCGAGCTTGGCCCGAGCCGCAGCATATTCAGCAGTCGTCGTTGGATGGGCAGCTACTGGGGGCGAATCCGCCGCCGCCGCCCCCGCCGCCGCCGCCGCCGCCCGTCGCCGCCGCCGCCGCCGCGCCGCCCGCCGCCGCCGTCCGCCGCCGCCCGCCGCCGCCGCGCCCGCGCCCCCGCTGCCGAATCGCCGCCGCCGCAGCCGCTGCCGCCGCAGCCGCTGCCGCCGCAGCCGCTGCCGCCACCGCTGCCGCCGCCGCCGCCGCAACCGCCGCCGCCGCCGCCACCGCCGCCGCCACCGCCGCAGCCGCTGCGCCCGCCGCAGCCGCCGCAGCCGCCGCCGTGGCCAAGTGTACTCTCTATTGGCTTTTGACAGGGATGGTGGGGGGAGGCCGCATCGGGTTAGCTGCGCATGCTCCGAATTTGAAAGCAAAGTGTGCTTTGTATTGTTTTTTACAAGGGATGGGGGGTGGCCTGCCTTGATCCTGGTTGGCTCCCAGTCGCCTGGGGCAGGGTGCGTGTGTGTATTAATAGGGAACAGTGATAACCCTTCCCCGAAGAGGAAGAAAGAGGGGTGGAAGAGGAAATGCGCGATTACCACCCAAGTTGGGGATACACGCCTCGAAACCCGAAGTTCGCCGAACGGAACGACCTATATCCTCATATAAGGGGGTAAATCGACCAGTGGGGCCCAGGCCACGCCGCTGGGGATGGAGATCGGTTAAACGATACTCATGTTCCCCCCTTTGTGCCAGTCCCTCTCCCTTCTCTGGGGATTCTCGGATTTTTCGGATCGGCGCGGATTTTTCGGATTGGCGCGGATTTCTCGGATCGGCGCTGGGGCCCCCTGGCGGCGGCTCCGGCGCCGCCCCTGGCGCCGGAGGCGCGCCAGGGAGGGGGGTCCAACGCGGATCCAAGAGATCCGCGCGGACCTCCGAGTTTTCGTGTTTGTGTCGTTTTTCGTTCCCTATACTATCGTTGCCCTTCGCTCTCCGCCTCCTCTGCTGCTGCTGCTGCTGCTGCTGCTGCTGCTGCTGCTGCCGCCGCTGCCACCGCGGCTGCCGCCGCTGCAGCTCCCTCCCCTGAGATCCGGGCGCTGCGATTTGCTCACGCTGGTGGGCGTGTTCTTCGCTCGCTCTCGGGCCCCAGGGCCATCACGGATCGACCCGCCTCGAAAACTGACGCAGAGAGATGGGGTCCCGGCCTCGGGTCGCGATGCGTCGCGATGGTGCATTTTGGTTGGCCGCGTCGGCTCTCAGGGTCTTTTCGTGCTCGCTGTGTGCCTCCCGTATCTGCCCTCTCTTTTTGTCCTCCGCCTCGCCCTCCGCCTCCGCCGACGCTCCCCCGGCTCGCCTCCGTGCACCTCGTCCTGCATCCCTGCGCCTCCCGGCGAAGAGTGCCAGCAGTGCCGTCATGACATCGTCGACCCGGCAGCACAACGGTGGTCCATGGCTTCGTGGTGCGATCCCACCCGTGGTTGACTTTCTCCGTTGAACACTCAGGAGGGAAGAAAACACACAGACACAATTAATCGCCGATCCCCAGGGAAATATGGGAAAATATGGGAAGTGGGGGGGAGACAAAAACCCAGAAAATATTTGAAAATACAGGGAATCCTCTTACTTGTGTGTATTTATTATCTTGCACAGGGTGTCTAGAGCTCCGGCCATATATTAGATTGCACAGGGTGTCTAGGGCTCCGATTATTTTCTTCCCCGTCGCACACCCCCCCCGCGTCCCCAGCGCCAGAATGGAACCCCCGCGCCGTGGCGCTCTGCCCCGAACCCCCCCGCGTCCCCAGCGCCCCAGCGGGAGCCCCGCCCACTGCCCCCTCCGCCACGAACGCTTTATTCCGCGTCGCACACACCCCTCCCCCCTCCGCGCCACCAGCGCCAAGGTGAGACCCCCGCGCCGTGGCTCTGTGCCCCGAGCCCCCCCGCGTCCCCAGCGCCCCAGCGGGGGCCCCGCCCACTGCCCCCTCCGCCACGAACGCTTTATTCCGCGTCGCGACGCACACCACCTCCCCCACCTCCCTCCCCGCGTCACCAGCGCCCCAGGTGGGGGCTCCGCCCCGTGCGCCCTCCGCCCCGACAGTTTTATTCCGAGCCGCGACGCACACCACCTCCCCCCCCCTCCCCACCTGGATTTGGGCCCCGTTGCTGGCCCCCCAGGGGCGATGTCTTGCCCGCTCTTCCCCCCTCCTCCACCTCCTCCTCCCCCCCCTTGCTCAGTGCGCAAGCGCCATGGCACACGTTCCACTTGTTTGTGTGTCCCAGGGCCCCTTCAAATATGGGAAGATATGGGGAGAACAATCGCCGATCCCAGTCGCCCCAATCGCCGATCCCCAGGAAGATATGGGAAAATAAGGGAAGTGGGGGGGAAGAGCAAAAACCCAGAAAACATGCGAAAATATGGGGAATCCGACTACTTGTGTGTGTTTATTTGTGTGTCCCAGGGCCCCTTCCAGTCAGGAGGCTGACGCTCCTCGGGCGGCTGCAGCCCAGGAGGGCAGAACAGGTGGAGGCCACTGCCGGCGGCCGGGACCGACATCTCTCGCGCGCGCGCGTGGCCCCCTGCGCGCCCCGAGCGCTGCGGGTGCGCCAGAGTGAACCGCAACGCCCGCAGAGGGGAAGCGTGGACTGCTTACGCTTCAGTTCACCTCGAGTTGAGCTGCCTCCTCCGTTTTCTGGCCAGATTGCCTACGCTTCAGTCTACTTCGAGTCGAGTTGCCTCCTCTGTCTTCTGGCCGCTGCACGGTTCGCCTGGATTTGCAGTTTTCCCTGCACACCACCCCTCGCTGCATGTGACGACGTGTGCACGGGCTGCGCACTGTGCCTTCGACAATGCTCGATCGCAATTGGCACTTCCATTTGCCGGCCGCGCCTGAGGATCCTCGGCGCCGCCGGCTTACAAATGTGGGCGTGTGTGTTTGCTTCAATTTATTTGGTTGCCCTGCGTGGCGGAGGTAGTCCTCGCAGGTGAAAGGGCGGGAGGAGAGGAACCCAGAGGGTTTCGAAAGCCGGAAGTCGTAACAGCCATATTGGAGTCTGGCCTCGTCCATTGCGGTCCTATCTTGGGTACGCGGCAAGTCCATCGCTCGTCTACTTCGTTGTGCCGTGAAGCCAGGTTTCTAGACACTACGCGCGGTATCTGTGGGGAGGGAGACTCGAGGGCGCGCATGTTGAGCGTTAGGAGGCCGAGCTTATCTTCGACCCAGCCGCTGCGGGCCACGCCGGGGCAGATGTTCGTGATGCAGAGCCATGTGTGTTCCATGGGTCGATACGGATGCGCCTGGGGGGGGCCGCCATCAGCAGGGGAGTACGCATTGATTCGCGCATGCGCATGTGTCACGCCACGACGCGACACAGCTGTGATAAGTTGCGTTCGTGGCCATCTGGGGTACATTCTGCAGCGGTGACCTCCAACCGATCATCGTAACGCCACCGCTGCGCAAGGTGAATATCCCGAAGAACACCAACCCTGACAGTGCGTGCCACCTTCTTTCACCTTTTCCCTCATGTACCCCCCTCGTCACCCAGCCGAGGCGACGAGGGCAGGACAGGTGTGCATGGCTCCGGGATCACTTTCGTCAGCCATGAGTCAGCCAGTCAACCCTGACAGTGCCATGCACCTTCCGTGGGGAAATTGGCAGCTCGTCGCCAGCGTTGTTCTGTACCTTCCAAGCCAGGCTTCCCCACCGGCGCTCGACCCAGCGCAGACCGGCTCGAGAGGCGTGGGCCGCAACACACCACACATCAGGAGGGAAAAACACACACAGGCACATTTACTCGTCGATTCCCCACAAGAACCACAACAAATATGGAAATATGGGGAACCCTGTTGCTTGTGTATATTTATTTGTGTGCCCCAGTGCCCCTTCAACAGATGCGGCACCTAACCTCATCGCGTGAAGATCGGTTTTGATGTTCGGCTAGCAGTAGCACAGTGCACCGCGCAATCGCATTCCAAGCACCGTTACACAAGCAGTGCGGCCTCACCACCACCCCCGCCGAGACCACGACACGTCAGAATCGGCCTCATCGTTCGGACCGTCACGGCAGCCACCGGATCATCATCACGACCCCGCATTTGACGGTGGTGGAGTAATGACGGTTGTGACGATGAGAGTCGGTACGGATGTGGTTTCAGGATATGGAAAAGTACGACAGATGCGAGTTTTGACGATTTGAAGTCAGGTTGCGAGATCTTTGATCAAAGGTTGACAAATGTTTGACCGATGGGTGTGGTGTTGAGCGGTTGCGAATACGAAGATGACATTTAACGCGTCGTCGGCCTCATTGCGATGCCGCTGGCAACAACTAGAACGAGCATGAAGACAAACAAACGGCAACAAGCTAGAGCTATGGGTGATGCCTAGTGTTGCATGTTGATTATTCCGACCAGCGTAACGCTCTCGGCAGCCGTTTTTCGGTCAGCACCCAATCCCCGACCTCTGCTTACGGATCGGCGTATAGTTGCCCAAGGAGGGCGCGAGAGTGTACGTTTGTGGCCCGGTCGTGGTCGGAAGAGGGGTAATCGCAAAATTGGGAGATCGACATTGGTTCCCAAAGGGAGACCAATCCCAGTTGGGACCAGTTGGTGTTGCAATGTTTGCTCGGAGTGCTTGGACGGTGGGCTACGAAACGCAAGTGATGCGATGTCGTTCCAAATGATGCGCGCTGTTATGGTTGACTACACGACCCCTCCCTCCAAGCAGTGACAACAACAATATATTAAACAGCGCGTAGTTAATGACGCAACGACGCGTCTCTTTATCTCTCTCTCTCTCTCTTTCTCTCTCTGTGCGACGACTGGCGCTCAGGTTTTTTTTGCAGCCGCCATGACTATTTCGAATGTGATACTACGTGTGTCCATTGTACTGACGCTATCGCCTTGAAGCCTATTTCTCGAGGCTCTCGAGTGGAGCCTGGAGTGTGAAGCCTCTTGAGTGGAACCGGGGTTGTTGGGAGGAGATTAGGGCAGAAGTTGAAGGCGCGTTCGTAACGACAATCGCTTCGCAACTGGCGATTCCACGGGTGTGATTTCTTCGGGAACCCTTCGTTTGTTCCCTCTCCCTCTCTCTTTCTTTGTTCTCTCTCTCTCTCTCTTTCTCCCTGTTTCTCGTGCTTTTTCTCTCGCTTTTTTTTTTTCTCTCTCTCTCTCTCTCTCTCTTTCTCTCTGTTTGGTTCTCTCTCTCTCTCTCGTTTTCTTTCTATAGATATCCATCTCACTCTGCACGTTTGACTGGCAGCGCGGCGCCTCATGCGGCCGTATCATGGCACCCCTCTGCGGATCACAATCGAAGCTTTTGCCGCGCACTTACTTGCGTTATTGCCTAAGCACGGGCCCCCCTGTTGTTGCGAATTTTCGCCCGAAACTCAGCGGACGTCTCGCGTCGCACAATCCAGGTATTGTCTTCTCCACATTACGCGCACGTGCTGCCCCAGCTAGTTCACGTAGATCCAGGTTGCCGCGGTCGGTCCCGGGCGCCCGCTTGGTTCGCATAAGCGGTTGACGCGTCGGGTTGCGCAGCGTCCGCCTTGTGCATAGGAATGTCGCTCTTCTTGTCGGTGCGCCCACCCTTCGTTTATTTGGGGGGCGTCGTTGCTGGGCACTGCCTCTGTTTTGATTATGTCTCTGAATATCCTCTGCGACCCGCTCTCCTGGTCGACGGGGGCACCCGGGGCCCTCCTGCTCAAGAGAGGTTCGTCTTCCTGATGGAGGTGGGCGTCCTCCTCTTGGTCGAGAGGATTCCTGTCCGAGGGACCTCTCTTTTGGTCCGAGGGGATTCTGCTTCCGCGCTGGCCTCGTCAAGCCAGGCAAGACCCGAGCCGGGTCTCCTCCGGCGCGGCAAGGGCCGCCGCGACATCCGTGCCGCTTCTGTGGCACGCTCCCGCCCTGTGGTCCGCGCAGCCCCGTTGTCTCCCAGGTTTCTCCTTCCTGCCCCGCCCGCTTATCCAATGGTAGTTTTTAACCGTGAGAAAATACATGTTGACCGAGAGAAAAAAAAACAATATGTAAACACAATGCGTAACAACAACACGTAAGCGTGAGACAAAAACAACAACGTGTAAAAAACAACACGTAAGAAAGTACGTAAAAATCCAGCTCTGCTGCTGGTGCTGTCTCGCCCGCGCCGGCGGCACCTGCTGCTGGGCCGCCAGGGCCGGCATCGCCAGCAGCCGAGCGCGCCGGGCACCCGAACCGTGCACAGAATAGTGAGATAGGGGTCGAGGCGGCCCATTTCTTTGTCTCCCCTTCCTGCTGGGTGAGCTCCTCGTCCTCGTCGTCGCCCTCCGCCTCCGCCTCGTTCCTCCTCCACGCAGCCGAGCCCCTTCCCGGTCGAGAGAGGAAATGGGCGGCGGTAAGGTGGCAGAGACACCTGTGTTCCGACGCTGCGCCTCTTCCTCCCTCCTCATTCATCCTCCCCCTCCTCCTTGTCCTCCTTGTCCTCCTCCTTATCCTCCTCCTCGTCGTCCTCCTCCTCCTCGTCTTCCTCCTCCTCATCCTCCTCGTCCTCGTCCTCGTCGCCTTCCTCCTCCTCCTCCTCCTCCTCCTCCTCCTCTTGCTCCTCCTCCTCCTCCTCCTCGTCCTCCTCCTCTTTCTCCTTGTCCTCCTCCTCCTCCTCCTCGTCCTCCTCCCCTGTCCTCCTCCTCCTCCTCCTTCTCCTCCTCTTCCTCCCCGGTCCTCCTCCTCCTCCTCCTCCTCTTCCTGCTCCTCCTCTTCGTCCTCCTCCTATTCTTCCTCCACCTCCCCTCCACCTCCCCCTCCTCCTCCTCCTCCTCCACCTCCTCCTGCTCCACCTCTGCCTCCTCCTCCTCCTCCTCCTCCTCCTCCTCCTCCTCCTCCTCCTCGTCCTCCTCCTCTTCTTCCTCCTCCTCCTCCTCCTCCTTCTCCCCCTGCTCTTCCTCTCCCTCGTCGGGTCTCTCGGTCCTTCTCGGTCCTCCTTTTCCTCCTTCTCCTCCTCCTCATCCTCCTCCTCCTCCCCGGTCCTCCTCCTCCTCCTCCTCCTCCTCCTCCTCCTCCTTCTCCTCCTCCTCCCCCTCCTCCTCCTCCTCTTTTCCCCCTCTCGATCCTCCTTGTCATCCTTATCCTCCTGCTCCTCCTCCTGCTCCTCCTCCTCCTCCTCCACCCCCTCCTCTTGCTCCTCCTCCTCCTCCTCCTCCTCCTCCTCCTTTTCCTTCTCGTTCTCCTTCTTATTCTCTGTCCTAGTCGGTGCTCCTTTTCCTCCTCGTCGTCGCCCTCCTCCTCCTCCTTCTCCTCCTCGTCCTCCTTCTCCTGCTGTTCCTTCCATTTGCCTTGCGAGTGAGTCCTCCCTGTTGCACCCCCAGACGCGTCGGCAGGGCGGGGCGGGCGTTCCGCTTGAGACGTCGCGTCGCCATCCTTCATGATAGTCAAGCTTGAAACCTTCTGCGGGTCCTTTCTCAAACTGTGGATGTCGCACTGCGCCGCGCGCATTCGTCTGAAATGTTTGCAACCGCTTCGAGGATGGAGTGGCGCATCCTTTTCAGCACGTGGTGCTCGCATTCGCGCGGCGCACCTTCGTGTCCAAAGTTTGCAGCACTTCGAGGCTGGGGTCTTTTCAAAAGCTTACTCTCCCCGAGCGCCGCGCACACTCGACAGAACAATTGCAAGAGCTGAGGAAGGAGGCCGAGACGTTTTCAACATGCTGTTCTCTCTTGAGCGCCACGCACATCCGGCTTGAAGTTTGCAGCACTTTCAAGGATGGAAGGCGGGTCCTTTTCAAAAGGTGGTTCTCGCCTCATCGCCGCGTGCATTCGTTTTTAAACGTTTGCAGCCGTTTCAAGGATTCGTAGGGTTGAAGTCCCAAGAAAGGTGGCCTGGCACCATTTAGGACTGTCCGGACGAAGCAGTCACCTGGATTCGCGGCGCTCACTTCCCAGGAGCAGCATTCTAGCACGATTAAGGATGGCCTGGACGCAACACTCGCCTTGATTCGCGGTGTTGATTTCCCAGGA